AGACACAGAATTTGAAACAGGCTCCAGGCTCCCAGCTGTCAGCATAGAGCCCCACATGGGGCTCAAACTCATGAACCACGAGATCATGACCTGAGCCAAAGTTGGACGCTTAACCAACTGAGCCACCCGGGCACCCTGGACTTGTTCATTCTAAAGGAAAAACATCCATGTGACCTTCTGGAGTTAATATGAATCAATCTTTATTTTGTAACCAATCAGCTTCATTGAAATTGGAATTAATATGAATCAATCTTTATTTTGTTACCAAACAGCTTCATTGAAATTCCTCACTAGCCATCCTAATCAAGCTAAACCACATGCTGGGTGGGCTTTTTTAAGTTTTATTGAGATATAATTTATATAGCATAAAGATCACCTATTCAAATCATACAATTCAATGTTTCTTAGCATATTTACAGAGTTATGCAACCATCAACCATAATCTATTTTTAGAACATGCTCATCCCAAAATGAAACCTTATACCCATTAGCAGACCTCCCCATTTCCCCCAGCCGTAAGCAACCACTAATTTACTTATGGGATTTGCCTATTCTGGACATTCTACTTACAACTGGAATCATACAATATGTGGAATTTTGTATCTGACTTCTTGCATTTAACATAGTGTTTTCAAGGTTCATCATGTTGTAGCGATGTGTCAGCACTTCATACCTATTTATGGCTGAATATTCCATTGTCTGGATATACTACAATTTCTTTACCTATTCATTAGTTGATATTTGGGTTGTTTCCATCTTTTTGTTATTATGAATAATGCTGCAGTGAACACTGGTATACAAGTATCTGAGTCCCTGTTTTCAATTCTTTTGGGTGTATATTAGGAACAGAATTACTGGGTCATATGGTAATTCTATGCTTAACTATTGAGGAAGTGCCTGACTGTCTTCCAAAAGGGCTGCATTATTTTACAACCTCTCCTGCAATGTAGGAGTTCTAACTGCTTCACATCCTCACCAACTTCTGTTATTGTCTGGCTTTTTTTTTTTTTTTTACAAAGTTTTCATAACTTTGCTTTGTTGGAACTATTATCTGCAGTTTCTTCTTTTTCTTTTTTTTTAATGTTTTTTTTTTAATTTATTTTTGAGACAGGGAGAGAGACAGAGCATGAGCAGGGGA